CAGGCCAATGTAACTGGGCATTTTTAACACCTATTGTAGGCCTCCCGATCTGGATCAGGATGAAACTATGAAACTGGTCTAGTATCGTTGGGTATTAACGATACTGACATCCAGCGGATGTTTTTCTGTTTGTGTGCTTCTCCCCAATTGATTTTCAGCGTAAATTTCAGCACTTTATTTCCCATTAACAAAATGTGCAGTGACAAGGGGCACAGTTGCTGGTGTATGTAATTTACCTTCAAGGAGAAATGAATAAATAAATTTCAGAAACATTATGAAGAAGCGTACATTTCAGCACTTTATTTCCCATTAACAAAATGTGCAGTGACAAGGGGCACAGTTGCTGCTGTACGTAATTTACCTTCAAGGAGAAATGAATAAATAAATCTCAGATGCATGGAAGGAACTGTGCATGGCCCAATTCCAAAACGAATTAAAAGAATTCCAAGAAAAATCAGAAAACCAGTGGAACACAGTTTGGGACATTTCTAATCCATGGATACTAAGGAACTTAGCTGACCCTATTAAAAATAAGATAAAAAAACTCCTCTGTGCCTTTTAGTAAATTAGATTATTTGCAGCTGAACAGTCACAGCATAATCCTCCTTTAAACTACAGATTACAGTTAACCTCCTTTAATGATCCTGCTGCAGAAAGATCTCCCCACCCCCTCCCAGTCAGGAAAAAGGCATTCAATATAGGGCTTGGTATTACATCTCCAGCGACCAGGAAGACAGGGCTAAAAGTCTCTCCTGAAAGATGTCACCTCCTCCTAATACACAGATGGTCTTCCTGCTTGGGAAAAATGAAGCAGGTTTTCGTGGAACTCTTCTGGTGTAACAAGGGAAGAAAAAGGAAAGGAAAACAGAGGCCCAAGACAGAAGGGACTTTGTTTCCCAGGGCAGCCGTGGCAGCCGGAGCTGGCATCAAGCCCTTTCAGCTTTCCTTATGCTCTACTTTCTCCACTGCAGATTTGACAAGAAGAAGGGGGAAGTCTGTGGGGAAGCCTATAGCTTCCTAAGTGCTCCCCATGCATATCAGAAAAGTGCCAGGATTTTTTTTGTCTATCTCAGGGCAGAGATTTAGAGTCAGCACTTTTTGCCAATGTAATGACTGGAGAGAGAAAGAGAGAGAGAGAGAGAGAGAGAATGTGTTCTCAGGTCGCACAGCTTCTGCCTGCCCACTTTCTCAGAGCATTTGCCTTCTGTGAAGGCCTGCTTAGCTTGATTCACCTCTCGAGCTATCATGGGCAAGTGAGGGGAACATTGCAGCCTCTGAGTCACCTTCTCTTCCTATGCTGGAAGGCAAAAGCTTTCACTCCATTATTTGATGCATTGAACCATTTCTCTGCCATTTTCCCAAAGCCTTTAGGAAATGGTCAAGCTCTAACGCACCCTTGTAGCCATTATGCTCCATGGGGTTGCCTTAGCTCTTCCAGGCTCAGGTACTGTTTCTCTCACTCCAGTAGATGTGGTTGGGAGAGTTCCGAGAGCTATCTCCAGAGGGGCAGTCAGCTGCCACAGCACCATGGGACAGGAAGCACTGGAGTGGAGGAAGGTACTGTAGTCCATATCCCACTGCCAATGAGAAAAGAGACCAGCTTTGAGTGCACATGCAGGATTCAGTCTGACAATGACAGCTCCAGATGGGTGGAACTTATTGTTCAAGTAGGATTCCTGGGAACTATTCTCTAAGAAAAGGAGGACTTGATTCTCACCCTCATGCAAGACATATTGATGGTTCCCCTTCTACCCTCATGACATATTCTCAGGCTTCAAGCTAGGAAGAAGGCCGCACTTAGGCACACTATTCCTTCTGAGCATTTCAAGAACTGTTGGCCAAGACTAGTCAGTGTAAATTGTGTTTGTGGGGTTTGCCACTCATTGGCGTGCCTTCCATGCTCCCTTTCTTTCTGCATTTTGCTTGGGTGGGTGGGTAGGTGGGTGTGTCCATCCTCAACAAGCCCAGCAAGTCAAAATGTCTGGTCAGTCTCACCTACCACAAGCATTCAGTTTGAACCAGGGCTGAGTGTCTCCTTCCTTCGCAAGCCCACTGCTCACTGCCACCCCCACCCACCCAAATTCCTTTTGAGCAGCAATGGTTGAGCTGCTGAGAAGTGGGCTCCAGCTTTGGCTGTAGCAGAGAACATGCCAGTGGGCAGGCAGAAAAGCCTGCTGAACAGCTGGCTGGCATGCTGTGGAGGGAACGAGGAGTCGGCTGGCTGCTGCAGAGAGCAGGTGAGCCCATACCAAACAGCTGGCTGTGGGGACCCGGAGAGCCCACTTAGAGGACTGAGCAGTGGGGGGGGGAAGGGCTGCTGACAGAGAACACAACAAATCTCTTTTAAAAAATTTTTTCTATCATTCACTCCTAATTTTCGGTCCCACTGAGCAGGAACCCCCATGTATGCAGGGGGTGGGATGGAGGGGGGCTTCATCCAAAACAGAAAGGAAGGAAACCCCCTGCCTATGCACAGCCCCGATGGAGTCCTGTGTACATGCACACACAACTTAGAGGGAATGTTGCTCCTAGCACTGTTGTACTTTGATTTAAAAAAAAAATAGATAAATATTAAAAATAGAACCACAGCAGCAGCAGCAGCAATGAGTGGCTGTGAGAGGCAGTCAGTGTGAGGGTGGATGACAAAGCCCCTATTACAGCTATTCTAAAAGCCAGTGTAAAACCCTCAACACAGTTTAAAAATGGATTAAAAGTTTTTCCAAGAGGACACACACACCAACCACAAAACCCCATGATTACCACGTGATTTTAAACAATGCAAAAAAAAAATCAATCCTTCACACAATTTATTTCAATAGTGTACCCACACTCTATGCCAACTTGCCCACTTCCAAAGATCTCCTGGGAGAGCCACGTCCCCACCTGTGATGATTTCAGAGATAAGGAAGAGGCCTGTTTATCCATGTCAAAACTATGGATCATCTTACCTCGTGGAACAGTCTAGCCCCTTGTCACCACTTTTATTACCTGTTTTCATTTTGGCTGCCCATTGATGATCTTATATGTGATACAACCTCACATTTTCAGATGATTTATGCTGTTACTTGATTCTGTTTTGTTTTGCTCATGTAGGCACTGTTGTGAATGCATTGCAAGGGCAGGATATAAGATAAGAAGTTCTTGTCAAAAGGACTGCTTCTGAGTCAGACTGATCTGGTGATAGTTATTCGCACCTCAGTTACATCTAAAAGGATAACTGCAATGTGCTCTGCCTGGAGCTACCCCTGGAGAGTGTCTGGAAGCAAAATTTGCTTGGTGCAAAATTTGGCAGCAAGGCTGCCGGACAATAGATAGTACCCTGATACTAAAACATCTGCCTAGATTACCATTTAACATTATTCTCATGATTTTTAATGCTGCATTTCATGCTTTATTGTGTTTAGACCTGATTACTAGTATATCTGTGCATCACACTGATTTATTTCAGTGCAGGAGCCAGAAGAAAAATACCTTTAAAAATCAGCATATTAATAGAAGAGAAATGCTACTATTTCCAGTTGGGAAAGGTCAGGTTTCTATTAATTCTCCTGCTTTGCAGGAATTTTGGCATAGATCATTCAGCTATTTAAGGCTGTTGTTCTTTGGCTGAAGTTTCCTTCTCTTATGTTGCTTAGCCATCATGGCCAAGGGTGGGAGACCTTCCTCCTGGAAAGGTGCCTGTAATCCTGCCTTCCCATTCACTGAATATAAGATTTAATCTAAGCTGTCCCCTTGGCTACAAGACTACAAGGTTTTGGTTTGGCTTTGCCTCACTCTTTACTACGGCTTTGTCAGAGATGCCCCTTTATGTTCTTACTTTTACTTCACTTACCTCACTTGCTTATGGTTTGCCTGCAGGACAGCTTATCCACTGCTGCCTGTCTCCTGCCGCAGTGTTTGGCCACAGCAAAATGTTGGATTTTTCCTCTGCCAATGTATGAAGAGTGGCTAAATGCTAAGGAGGCTTCCCTGCCATCCTGCACTAATTAGGTACCTTATGGAGGGTGTGCAGTAAGGGCCATTTCTGCCTTTGGACAATGTGTGGCAATCACCTGAGGCAGCAGATTCCAAGTTTAGGGAAAAGCCAACAGAGTAATTAATTGATGAGTGTTGTTGGAACACTGCTTCCAGGGGAATAGTGGAGGTACCTGAGGGATTTCCTGCCTCATATGCCATGATAACCTGGCTGGCCATGGTCACTGTATATCAGGAACCTGGAGAGCAGGGGATGGGGGAGAAGTGCCATGTGATGATGGTTCATCTCTCATAGCAAAATATTTTGATCTGTTCCTTCTGTTGAACTTTGGAGATCATGAGGCAGGTGAATCAATATAGAAAGGACTGCTTCAGAGTTTGAAATTTGCCATCCACTGTTCAAATGGATGCAATTCTAAGGATAAGCTAAGGAAAAAAAATGCCAAAAAAGTGCGCCTTCCTCAATTCAGATGATTTATTGTACTGAAGAGACATTGCTAGAGTGTTTGCCTGTATCTGGCTCAAGCAGAAACCATATCTCCTTTTTTTTTTTAATCAGCCCCTCACAATTCTCTCTCCTCTCACGCCTGGCTCCAAACTGCTTGCTTGCTTATTTGTTTGTTTGTTTTCAATCTCTAATTCCCTTTTAAAATTCATTGGGCTCCTTTTTACTTAGTATTGTTTGGCCTATTTGGCAATTCTGCCTTTGTAGTAATCCCAAAAGCTGCAGTTGCGTTGTCAGAGAGAAAAAAAATCCAAAATGGTGAAACATGGTTTGGAGAGGAAGTGATCTCCCTCCCTCCTACATACAAGAGTATACTTGTTATCTTTTACATTAGTCATTTTTCCTCTCCTCTTACTGTCATTCTTTAACCTTGCATTTCACCATCTGGTAATTTTTAACACAGGTTTTGAGGGGTTTTCAGAGGAAATATTTTAAAAATACTCAAGCCTGTAGAAACACACATGTACAAGCCTGTTTCTGTGCCTAAGGTTGTTCTTTCTGTTTTATTTTTTCCCCACAGTTCTCCATTCCGCAAAGCCAGAGCATTGTACGCTTGTAAAGCAGAACATGACTCGGAACTCTCCTTCACGGCAGGCACCCTATTTGATAACGGTGAGTCTCTGAACATGGACCCACCAACATAACAGGAAAAACAGAGATGGTGATTTTGAAGGATGGGAAGTCACATTAGTTTTGCTGAAATGTCGTGCTTTCTGCTGGTCACTTAATAAAATATTTTGTTTTACTGGAAATAGTGAAAAGATATATGCTTTCTAGCCCTCCAAGGAATGTGTTACATCCAATGCAAGGTGTTCAATTCAAAGAGGGATTATTTGAGCTTTTGAAGGCCAAGCTACATGTTAGACAAGAATCTTGTGTATCTTTGGCACTGCAAAAGGAAACACACATTTCAACCAATTGCAACACGGTATGTTATAGATAGCTGGTCATTTGGAACATTAGTGTTCCAGAAATGTGAGTACAGCTGTATGTGTCAGAGAAATCAGACTTGCACATTAAGTCCCAAAGACCAGCCACAAAACACAGCGCGTGCACTTGCATACTATAGGAGCTATGAGTAGTTTCTGCTGTGCAATCAAGCACGTTCAGCTGTTAAAGGATTCCATCTTGCAGTGATAGGTTTTCTGCAACAGACAACTCTTTAGAGCCTCTGTGAGTCACACATGTGCCCAACACATACTAAATTTTAGATGTGAAAATTTGAAAACCTCCAGCTTACCTTGCAATTACACCATGTGCATCTCCCACTGTAGGGCTCTCTGCATGATTTATACAGCCAGTATCTAGAGAAGTGGTAGAAAGAAGGGGAAGGAATAAAATGGCCACAGGTTCATTGGGTACAAATATTGGTTACATTGGGGGTTCATTGGTTACAAAGAGCTGCAAGCACAGGAACAGGGATACAGATCAAGCCATTGGGTGGCCTTACTGCCAGCCAGAGTGACCCTTTCCCTCCTCCGCTTGCATGCTGGGGAGCTGCCAAGGCTGCTGAAGATGAATGCTAACCTGAGTATGAGTGTCTGCCTGGGTGTCTGTTGCCACCACAGACTTTGCTGGCAAGAGCTGAGCTAAGCTTCAGTCTGGAAGTCTACACACATGCACGCACACACACACCCCAATTTCTTACAAGGCTCTCCCGGTTAGATGGATATCATATCCTGGTTACAACATTGATCTAACCCAGAGACTTCATCTTCTCACAGGAAAACTGTGAGAAGAAAAAGCAAGCAGATCATGAAAGTATGTGGATTGCTCTGGAGGAGACGAAAACTCAGTGGTCTGGGACAATTACAGTGGGGTCTCTACTTAAGAACTTAATCCGTATTGGAAGGTGGTTCTCAAGTGGAAAAGTTCTTATGTAGAATCTGCATTTCCCATAGGAATGCATTGAAAACCATTTAATCTGTATCTGCTCTTTTCCGTCCATAGAAACTAATGGGAAGCTGCTATTCCGCCTTCTACCACTAGAGGGGGATATTTTTTCTTTTTTTTACCCCTTAGGTCAGGGAACAGTGTTAAAAGCACTTCTGACGAAGCTAATTTTGAAGCAATGGACTGAAAACCAATTAATCTGTTCTGGCTGTTTTTTTGTTATGTAGAGATGCGTTCGTACATTGAAGCATTAGTTCCCATAGGAACTAATGCAAAGCTGGTTAATACGTACTCTACCACTAGGGGGAGAACTTTTTTTTAACCTAAAATGACCTAAGGTTAAAAAAAGAGCAGGAAAGTTTTTTTTTTCCTGTTCTTATCTTGGATTTTTGTTCTCAAGTAGAAGCAAAATTTAGCAAATGGAGCTGTTCTTAAGTGGAATTGTTCTTAAGTAGGGACGTTCTTAAGTAGAGACCCCACTGTATGTTTACGGATAAAATTCCCCCACGCTCCATAAGCCAACAGCTGAGTGATATTTACCAACATAAACTGGGGGTAAGGGCAGAATAGGTCGGGGTCCTTCCACTCAGCATGGAGGATTAGCAGAAGGGTAGATCTTGTTATTGTTGTTCAGTCATTAAGTTGTGTCCAACTCTTTGTGACCCCATGGACCAGAGCATGCCAGGTCCTCCTTTCTTCCACTGCCTTCCAGAGTTGAGTCAAATTCATGTTGGTAGCTTCAGTGACGCTGTCCATGCATCTTGTCCTCTGTCGTCCCCTTCTCCTCTTTCCTTCACACTTTTTTAACATCAGTGTCTTTTCCAGGGAGTCTTTTCTTCTCATGAGATGGCCAAAGTATTGGAGCCACAGCTTCAGGATCTGTCCTTCCAGTGAGCACTGAGGGTTGATTTCCTTCAGAATGGATAGGTGTGTTCTCCTTGCAGTCCAGGGGACTCTCAAGAGTCTCCTCCAGCACCACAATTCAAAGGCATCAATTCTTTGGCTGTCAGCCTTCTTTATGGTCCAGCTCTCACTTCCATACATCACGAGAGGAAAAACCATAGCTTTGACTATTCGGACTTTTGTTGGCAAGGTGATGTCTCTGCTTTTTAAGATGCTGTCGAGGTTTGTCATCACTTTCCTCCCAAGTATGGTAGACCTACTTAAGTATTAAACAGGCAGACCTGAGAGGGGACTTATTCTCACATAGGTCCACAAGGGAAGCCCAGGCTCTTTTGTGTCCGGCACTGCAGATGTAATTGACTGATGTGGAGCTCCTGGCAGTCCACATGGCCAAGATAGCCATCAGCATCTCTGTAGCTATCAAAAAGAAGTCTTCAAGCTTCCTCCTGCATCATTTAACTGTGAGGCTGAAAGAGACCTTGGAGACCATTTAATCCCGCTCCCAGATCAGTGCAGGATCTGTAGTGTCACCATTTCCCAAGGCATTCTGTTTCACTGTCAAACAGCTCCTACTGTTAGGAAATTTCTCCTAATGTGTGGAGGTTGGGGGTGGCACAATCTCTGATTCATGGGCCTAATCTGGTCTATAGTAGGTCCCAGTCTTGCCCATGCAGAGTCTGGTGGTTGCCTGTCTCCTGGTTAGCCAGTTTCAAAGGATAGAAAGTGTTTCAGGGTTTACTGGTGGAAAATGTCCTCCTCTACAGGAATTCTTGATGTTACCTCTGATCGCCTAGCATACATCCTCACAGGACGACAGAACCTCCCCATGCCAGGTATTGGCTAGTTGCAGGAGAATTCATACAGTCATTGTTTGAATGCAGGTGTGGCTTCTCTGTGTTTCTTCTGGCCCACACTCTCCATAATGGAAGAAGGCAATGGACAAATAACACCACCTTTATGATGATGATGCTTACAGGAGTGCCCCTTTGTCTAGTATCTGAGTCGGAGCTGGTTTCCTTGTTGGTGAAAACCTTTGGTGACAGCAGGAGTAGGATGTTATCTGGGGTGCAGTCATCACCCCAGGCATCATCCATCCTCTAGAGGGCTTGGAGAATCATCCAGCCCCTCTACCCAAAGAAGAGTCCCCTCCTCTATCTTAATGATCAGCCAAAACCTACTACCTTTCAACTTCCACCCATTTCAAGATTTAATTAGACTGATTAAAGACCAAGCAGTCTGAACTGGAGCTGCTGGTTAGTGAAATGCCAGCCAGATTTAGTGTCCAAGATGAGCCAAGTGAGCAGTGTGTCTTTACTGGGTGTGACAGACAGGCCTAAAAGGATTCAAAATGAGTTACTAAATAGCAGAGGGCTGATCCAAGGATAGTTGTGGGCTTTTGCGAGCCTCTGCCAGCGGTGGATCATCCCGGCGGTTGGAATATGGTGGTCTTTGGATTTCTGATGATCCTCCCCGTTTCCTTTAGGCATCCACAACTCCTCTCCAGGGATCTCCGTTTCTTTCATCGTTTCACTTGCCTTCTGGCTCTAGGTCCTCTTCTACCTCCTCCTCTATATTATGGGCCTTGTGTATTTCTTCTTGGACATCACTCCAGGCTTCTTCTTCCTTCCCCTTGGAAGTGGCTTCCCCTCTTCTCTGCTGCCCCTCAGGGGGCTCCCCTCTCCTACAGCAGTCAACAGTTTTCCTGTCTTGTGTCTCACTGTCCCAGGCCTTCCTGCCCTTAGGCTTGATATCCTCCACGTTCTCTCCACCGCTCTTCTCTTTAGGGCCTGAGTTGGGGCTAGATGACCCCTGAGAATGCCCTTCTTAGTGTCCCCCTCACAGCTTTAGAAGACAGAGGTCCTGTCAGGTTATATGAGACAAGTAAGGAAGCCTACGGACTCTGGAATCAGGGAGTGAGGAGGCTGAGGGGGGAAATGCGCTTTGTCCAAACTGTATATGGTGATTGCAATAATTTAGGCGACAGCAAGTTTTAGAAGAAGGCAACATTCTGATTGAACCTTTGATCAATTTTGTTAATTACTAGCCCAGCCTTTCCACTCTCTGTGTCTTAAGCATACAGGAAAATGACTGAGAGGGATTTTGACTCAGTCTTCTATCCTTCCGAGGTCAGTAAAATGAGTACCCAGCTTGCTGGGGGGGGGGGGCAATGTGTAGCCTGCATAATGTAAACCGCCCACAGAGTGCTTGAAGTGCTATGGAACGGTATATAAGCAGCACACTTTGCTTTTTTGCTTTGCTTTTTATTTATTTTTTAAAAACTAAAAACCTGATTTTTAGTTACTGCAGTAAAAAGCACATTAAAACGGACATATTATAAATATATAAAAAAACAAATTTTAACAAGAAGGATGTCATGTGAATTGAAGCAAGGTATATTTTTTAAAAAAAGTTATTTGTGAAGCTTGTTATACTAGCTTTTCTGTATTGTGTTGTAGCCTTGCTCAAGAGCCAGCCAGTGTAGGCAGCTGCAGAAGTCTGCTTCTGGTTATTCAGATGGTGTATAGGTTCCAAAAGAGGCCAGCAGTCTCCCTTTTCTGCAAGCCCTCAACTATGTTGACAAAGCCCAGCACAAGATTTCCAAAAATCAAGTAATCTTTGTCCGGGAGAAGTCAGTTGCCCATCTCTTTCACAGTAACTCAGTGGCAACAGTTCCTCTCTTGTTTCTTCCTTTTGTTACATTTGGTAAAATCATCAAGACATGAGTAGATTTAAACAATTTTACTCCAGGGTGGGCCTTTGTTTCCTTAAGGGGGTGAGTTTGAGATGAGTGAACAGCCTGCTGACATATTTGCAAA